TGCACATAGTAGCTATGTGACCAAGTAAGCAAGTCACTTAATCTCTTGGTGCTCTAGGCAGTTTTCTAAATCTTAAGTTGCAGAGAAAGTACCAACCTGCATTGGAAGATCGAACTCTTCATCAGATAGTATCCTATACAAATGTAATCACAAGGTTAGTCCCTATCCTATCTCTAGTTAATCTTCTAGGGTAAAATTCATATTTATACTAGCTCCATGAAAAAGCATTTGCCAAATGAATCGATATATTAAAAAAAAGTTTAACCTACTTAGAATAGTTTTCTCTGAAATTTTCTAATCTCTATATTTGTAATATCAGTTAGATAAACCCCAATAATTTTTTATCTATTAATTAATGGTATACACTGACCCTGTTTAACAAGGGTCACTAAGTCACTATTTCTCAGGGGTATATGTACTTGAAAGCCAAAATATTACATTTATCTAAGACTATTTAGTAATTTAGATGGATTCTGGCTCATTATCTCAATAAGTGAGATTTATATATGAAGCATGGCTAAATGAATATCAGGAACCAAAGTATGTTTCTGGTTCAGCAGAAGGCTAGAAAAGTATAACAATTTTGTCATTATCATAAATGGAATAAATTATAGGTAAAATAATTATAAATGGAATAAATTATGTTATATCAATCTTATTTATAATTCAATTATATGCTGAAGGAATTTTAAAAAGTTACATTTATTTTCTCATGTTAATTAGGGGAAAAAAAGTTAAACACATGGTTGATAGAGGGAAAGACGAGTAAAGATAGTAGCATAATCAGTTCCCAGGAATGAAGCAAAGACCTGACTTCTTTCTTCTCCCCAGTACACTGATGGGATGATCATTTTACCAGATAATCATGCAGTCTCATATCCTGTCTCAGCAGACCATGATGTGATATTCCTAAATTATCCTGAACTACCTGCATTTGTAGATCACTTAAGCCAGCTGGCAGAATGATCCCATGATAATTTGTTCTGTTGCAATTCTCTTTTTGTTATAAAGCTATTTGCATAGTCTTCATGACCATCTACGTTAAAGATGACTATTGAGTCAGGTTCTCTTGGGTATATAAAAACCTCATAGGGTTGCCTACATGCTTTCAGGTGCGTAAAAGTGTTGTAATAGGGGTATAAATTAGCAATATGTGCTTCACTATGCACATTGGGAAAACTTATGAACCCTATGCAAATCGCTGCTCAAAGTTATGGCACCCAAGCTACAGGTCTTCCACCCTCAATGGTAGTGAAAATTTATGCATTGGAATTCCTTGTACAAATCTTGAATATTCCCAAATGGCAGCAATTCTTAGTAGCTCACAGAGCCAGGATATAATTAGACAGAATTTGGACATTCACATTGGGTACAAACACAAATATTTGTCCTATTAAATTGAACTAATCTTGGGATGAAGAAACAAGCAATTAAATGAAATTAAAAGTCAAAAACACCTGATGAGAACAAGACCAGGAGAAAACCATTTACATAGATTCCTTCAGGACACCATTTGAGCAGCAAAATAATGAACAGCAACACTTGTCTACCTCCCCTCTTCCCCAACAAACAAATAAACAATAACTTAATATACACTGTTCAGGTCTTTCCTCTTATTGCAGGGCCTTAGGTAGAAAAGAATAAAAGCTAATACTGCATAAAGTGGCTTTAGGTTGTCTCTGTTTTGTGGGAAAGGGAAAAAAAGATAAGGGATCAGAGACAGCTTGGAAGGGGCCTCCAGTAGGAATAGATGTTCATGATCACTTTTTAGGGCTGGGCACATTGGTGGTATGTATACATTTGGTAGCTATCATGGAAAGTGCCAAATGGTCCTATCTTTCTTCTCTGAGGGACTTAGTCTGTCTTTTTAAACAATGCCTATTGGTTCCATTTGGAACCAGCATTCATTTAGTAATTCTTAATCCTTTTATTCTGAGCTAGATCTTAATGATTTGCTATTTCTGTTCTTTTTACCTAGCAGATGAAGTCAGGCTTGGACCTCACCTGCATACTGAGGGAACAGGGGCAGAGGTTCCTCAGATATCCATTGGCAGGAGTGTATGTCAGTGCACAAGGACTCTGCAGTTTTCACAGTACCCTACAGACACAACTTATGATGAAAAGGGAGAACTGGGCCAGTTTCTGTGAACCAGACTCTCCTAGTTAATATAGTATAGCATAAAGACCCCTGAATTGGGAATCAGATAAACTGGGTTTCTGGTCCAGCACCTATATGATCTCATAGAAATCACAACATTTTTGAGATTGTTTCCTTGCCTGCAAAATAGGGATAATGATACCTGCCCTAACTTTCCCACATACTTGATATGAGGCTTAAATGGGATACAATATGTAAGAGTATTCTTTAACCAAAAGAACTAACTTGTTGCTTCAAAGGTCCATGTCTTTAGAATTTCCTGCTACTCATTGAATGTATTTGATGATAAGAATCATTTACCATAAAACTTGTGCACAGGGTTTGGGGCCAGCATTAATCTAAGAATTTTTAATAGGCAGGGGAATGGGGAGGAAGGAAACTTACAAGCTGGTTAGGTAATGGGGGAGAACTGACAGGAGTGGAGGGACTGTCAGTGAAGATGAAGTTTACATAGGATTTATGTGAATCCTGTAGTTCAAGTTGTTCCAGTGACACATTGGTCAAGAAGGGCATTACAAGCAATATTTGGATGGAATTGTAATGAAACCTGCAAATTTTCTGCTCAACTTTATCATACGTATCAAGCAACATTATGAAAGGAAAATTGACCATTAGTGTAAAGTAAACCACCTGTTTTTTAAAGATGGTCCTTTTGATGACTGCAAAGGAATACTGTTCTCAAAGTTGTTGTTTTTTTTTGTTTGTTTGTTTGTTTTTTGCCCAGGCTCACTTCACTTGTTAATATGCATTATTCTATACAGATGATTTCCAAGTTTGCATCTCTACCGCTAACCTCTCCCCTAAACGCAAGTTTTGCATTTTCAATGCCTGCTAGCCATCTTCCCCTACATGTCCCAAGTACTCAGTGACAGAATTTATCTTCCTGTAGTCATGGGAATAGAAGAAATTATAAAGGAACAGAATATAAAGAGAAAATATGGTTCAAAATAATCTTAAGATATACCCAAATGTATGGGCATCAGGAGAAAAATCAACGAAAGTTCTGAGAAATAGTGGTCAGAGAGGTAGAAGAATCAGAGTTAGGGAAACAGATAGAGGGAAAAATATTAAAAAAAGGAAGACATGATCACCAGAATCAAATACTGAAGAAAGCTTAAGGAAAAGGTGGGCTGAGGAAAAAACCAATGGACTTGGCAATTAGATCATTGGTGACCTTGGAGTGAATAATTTCAGTAAAGTGAGAGAAAGAGAGGATAGATTGCATAAGGGCTCAGTTGAGTGGCAAATGAGGTAGTGGATGCAAAGAGCAGATTAGAGTTTAATCAGTCAAGCATATGAAAGTAGTAGTAAACTAACTTGAAAAGTTACATAAGATCATAAATAGAGAGCTAAAAGGGACCTTAGAAACCTCTTCATTTCTTTTAAACCAGGCCCTCAACACCTCGTGCCTAAACTATTCTAATTATCTGCTGATCAGTCTGTGCCAAATTTCTTCATACTCTGGTCCACTCAGCTATCAAACTGATCTTCTAAAAGCTCAAGTCTGACCACCCCACCCCCACCCAATTTAATCAATGCCAGTGGTTTCTTATTGTTTCTAGAATACAATATAAAGAAATCTTATATCCTGTAAAGCACTATATAAAATGCTAGTTATTATTAAGAATGATAATAACCATTACTGTTATTCCCAACTTTCTAATTTTCTTATGTCTGATCCTCTCCTCCCTCACATTCCTGTTCCTTGGACATGCCATGCTATCTCTCAACTCCAAGCATTTTCCTTGACTGCACCCCTGCCACCTTCCATGACTAAAACTCCCTCTTCATCTCCACTTCCTTGTTTCTCTAGTTTCCTTCAAGGTTGAGCTAAAGTCCCACCTTCTACAAGAAGTCTGTCTTCAACCCCCTTAATGTTAGTGTCTTCCCTCTCTTGATGGCCTCTTCCAGTTTATCCAATTATCTTGTTTTTACATAGCTCTTTGAGGGCAGACACTGATTTCTTGTTTGTTTGTTTTTGACCTTCCTTTGTATCTTCAGAATTTAGTGCAGTGCCTAACACTTAGCAGACACTTAATAAATACTAGCTGACTAATGGGAATAACTCTTTATTCTTCAATTCTTGCCCATTTGTGTGGCAAAGTAAAACTTAAAAGGGTACAATTTTTAAATAGACATCATTGACCTTCATAAGACAGCTCTGCATCCAGTAAATGAATTACAGGAAACTTCCACTATTTCCATATTCACAATTTCTAATTTAAAGTCACGGATTGCTCTGTAATTTATATTTGCTTTGTAGTTTATATTACTGGAGTATTAATGCAGAGGAAGGATGATCATTTGTCAGACATGACATAAGGAGACCTTCCTTCATCGGGCTTTGAGTTGGACTATGGATTAATTCACCTCTTATGTTTCTTCCCACTCTCCACAAAACTATAATTCTCAAAAACAAAAACAAAAAACCCTCTAGAGTTCCACATCAGCCTATGCTTTGTAACATTAATTCTTGATATATGTACATATATGTATGTATATACATAAACATACATCTACATACATATGATGTTATGATACTTCAATATTATTCTATCTCATTATTATACCTAAAACAAAAAATGGTATAAAGCACAGCAAGTAGAGAAGTTACAAAGAAAAAATATCATGTTTTCATCCATTTCCCTATTTGTGGTTATTGCTATCCCTTTAGAATATTGAAAGTTTCTACAGTTTCATATATAGATCTCTTGCAAAAATCTTGCAATGTTGCTTTTGTCTTTTGCTTTTTTTTTAAATAAAACTATCCTTAGCTCAAGTACTTGATTTCCAATGGCATCTATGGTAACTTGAATGTAAAAGTCAAAACTAAGCTTCTTACCTGGGAGGACAGGCTGGCATTTTACAAGGTATAACTCCTGTAACTGGTCGAGTCCTTGGATTGCAAAATGATGTGTTTACTTGAAGCCTCATGTCTCGGTAACAGCCTTCTTTTGTGGTCATCTGTCCTGTGGACAAAGAGCAAAATAGATGATAAAGCACTACACAGGACCAATGGAATATCTGAGTTTAATTAACTACATCTTTTATCTCTTCTTGAATAATTTTTGGTATTTGTGTAGTTATGATAACTTCTGCTCCCCACTTTTAGTATATTTATTCTGCCTTGTGATTGCTGATCAATTAGGCCACTATGGAGATCAAATCTTCTTAACATCCCAATATAATACTTTTTAATTCCAAGATACTCAGTCTAGGTAGAAAGCTTGGGCCAGCTTTCCCAAGAAACTCCAAATAATAAGTTTGCACTTGAGTTATGTTTCAGTTTGAGTTTGAAATTATACTCTAAATAGAGATACAATGGGAAATGATAAGAAGTGTAAGCCAGAAAAAAAAAGAAAGAAAAGAAACAATGAAAGTGACATGCTGATTCCAAATGGCAGGAATCTCTAGGAAATGCAAAGTGACAAACCTCACTCAAGACCTGGCAAGTTTCAGGACTTGCTTCTTCTTACATGTGAATGTAACGTATACATTGAGCTTGCTAGCATTCTTCGAGAGACTGGAAATGAACGCCCTATTCTAAGCCTCCTTCTTCCTCCCCAGAGTTGTTTAAGATTTTAGCTGTGGAATTTTCAGTTGACTGAAAATGAGCCAAATGACTCCATATATTCAGGTTTGCACAACCAGAAACAAGGCATCCAGGTGGCAATAGGAAATATTTGTTCAGATCAACTTCTTACCAAGGATTAAGACTGAGGGAGTTTGGAAATTGGGGAAGCATGGAAACCTTCAGAAGGAGGTAGGCAGAGGTTTCTAACCTGGTCTCTGTGAACTTTTTTTAAACCATATTTTGATAACTGTTTGCTTTTTAATCTTATGTATTTTATTTTATGTATGATTCTCAGAAGGGATCCATAGGCTTCTCCAAACTGCCAAATGAATCCATGAATATGAAATGAGACAATATTGGTAAAGTGCTTAGCACAGTGTTGAGCTTAGTAATAAATACAGTAGGCACTTAATAAATACATGTTTCCTTCCTCCTTCTATGATGCAAAAAAAAAAAGGTTAAAAACCCTTGGTTTAGAGGAAAGAGCACTGCATTTGGAATCAGAAGACTTGGGAATGGGAGACAGTCCTAACTGGCCCTCTTACTAGGTATATTTATGTGCAAGTTACTCAGTTTCCTCTCTTGGGATCAGTTTCCTAATCTGTAAAATGAAGATACTTGTACCACTCACTTTACAGGGTTGTAGTGGGCTTAAGTAAGCAAATTTGTTAGAAGTACTCTTAGCCCTTTGTGAGCAGTTGAGTACTTTATGTCTGCTTTTATTATATGCTACTATGGAGCTGATAGATGAGACAAACATATGCATTTTGGGGTAGAAACATGGAATTCTGAGGGCTAGTTCATGCGATAAATCTCTAATTTTCAATGCTTATCCTATAACAAATTCTGGTTTTTTTCAATTAATTCTAAAAAAAAAGATAGAGTAATAAAAAACAGTGACTTTTGAAGGAGGATACCAAAGAACAACTCCACTAAAAATATAGAACTTAAATGCATTATCTTAAAAAATTCTTTAAAATTAATTTTTTTCTCCCTTTAGTCGTATAAAGCAATACAGAGTCTATGCAACTGAATTACCCATGCACTTTCCCTCCTCCTCCTCCTCCATAGCCCAACCCAATTTAGAACACAACTTATACTGACATTTTGAAATTTACCAACACAGCTGAATTCACATGCTCTGACAGATGATGAAAGGTTTGCTGACAAGGTAGCTGACTAAAAGAGTAGTTTCAGGTTTAAAAAAAAAAAAGGACAGCTGGTTGTAGACACTGGCCTTTTCCCCCAATTCCCCCTACCCCCAATCTCAAAGATTAAATTCCTATAAGAAGTCAAACTTTTTTTCTTAAAAAATTAAAAGTCTTCAAAATACACAATGGCAGTTCAATTGAAATAGGGCTTTTGCTTTGTCAAGAAATAGGAAGCAATTCAGAGAAAAAGATGTATTACACAAAAGAACATGTTTTTTTTTTCTGATGAAGCAGGAAAGGCTACCATGAAATCCTTCTGCATAAAACCCTTTCTTCTTTTTTTCATTAACCTCCCCCTAGCCCCAAGTAATTGGCGAGTTAAAATTCACTTTTACCAAGTGAAAGTAATCACATTACTCCCGGAAATCTATTTGTGGCCAATTATTTCTCCATTGTTCTAGAGTTTACCACCATTTCTCCAATGAGCAATGTCTTTTCTAGAGAAATTAAGGATCGTGACTTTTTTTTTCTCCTAGAAATTTTTGGTTTTGGTTTCGACCAGGCCTGTGATTTCATCAGTGTAGGCAGCTTCTGGGTAGAAACTTTTTCCACTGATGCAGACTGACTCTTTCTCTGCAATTTATAATCTTAGAGAGTTGCCTGGAACTTTGAGAGGTTAAGTGACTTTTCACCTAGCCAGTATGTGACAAAGGTGGGCCTTAATCTCAAGTCTTCCTGACTAGGCCAATTCTGTCTACTTTGCTGCACATGCTTTCAACTGCAATGTTAAGAGAATTAATTGAACACTTTGAGCTCCTTAAAGGCTAATGGTGGCATGGAAGTACAAGTCAATAAACTAAGAACACACCCTTGTGGCTCCCTGTGTGGATTAATTGCAGTTTTTCGAACTGGTTATTGTAAAGAGGAAAATTCACAATTTTGCAGTCTGAACACTGTTGTTCTATCACAATAATTTAGTATAATCAAGAATTGGTAAAGCAATCAGTTTTTCATTGGTCAAATCTGCAATCTTTCCACATAATTTATGTTCTCTGAGAATTGCATTTGGTCTTTTTACTTTTTTGGGGGGAACCATTTAGTAAAGTGCTATTGTAGTGCCATATGTTGAGTCAAAGAGGGATGACAGAAAACATGAGGGGCAGAAAAAAAATGTAATTGAGACAAATGAAAGCAAAAATTTCATGAATGTGACATTGCTACTCATTGATTATTTTTAAAAACAATAACAGAAAATCAATAATTATTATATTCAGCAATGATAGATTAGAAGCCTCATTTGAATGAGGAGTTAGACATATCTTATCCATTCACCAATTCATTGATTCTAAAAAACATCAAGTGATTGCTATGTATAAGCGCCTACAGAAATACACAGACCAACAAATCATGGTTCTTGCCTTCATGGAACTTACAGACTAGTAGGAGAAATAAGGCCTGGGGTAAAGAGGGACTTTCCATTAGCAATAGTATCCATAAATATTGTTCATATCCTCTAATCAAAAGATACATTATACTTGTGTAACTTCAGCCCAATTTATCAGAAAGAACCCAAAATCACATTTATCTTTTCAAGCATGTGTAGTCAAGGGATGCAGTAAAAAGCAGTTTATTCAACTATTTGGGAAGAATTAAGGGACTTAGAATCATTAGAGCTTGGAGAGAACTTATACATAATCTAATATATTCCCTCTTCTACAAATTTGTTTTTTGTTTTTTTACTTTATTTACAGATGAAGAAATAGACCTAGAGACATTGTCTCTGCAAAAAGCTCCTATCTAATTATTTACTAACTGTAAATTTGTAAAACAAATACTTGTTTATCAGTGGACAACTTATAGGACCAAATATTGCTCTGTATATTCTAAGTATTAATGCTATTAGTTAAATCATAATTTACCATAAATAAAATTGACTTAGGTTAGTATTATGTTCTTCAATTATAGTTGGGACAACAGAGGCATAACTCGGTGACAATGCATAGAAATACATGCCTGAAATGGGATTTGAGTAAATGTTTTTTGTTTGGTGATAAGGAGTAAAGATGTGGCTATAAATACGAAATAGAACAAATGACTTGTGGTAGACCTCTTTTGAAGACATCCTCAGAGGCTCTCTAGTCTTTGGCATGGTAATTGCTTTGACTCACCTTAAAACAGGAACAGATTCTGTAAAATTTAATCTTGGGAAAATACTAAAATGCTGGCTAATATGCACAGTGAGGAGAGCAAATAACAATCACATCTGCTTATACTTCAATTCCAAAATCCAATTTTTTGATAGTTTAAACTGTATGTCATTATTAAAGGTGCTACCATATTAAAATTTGGCCAAGCCTTGCCTTCTGTGAAGAAATCCAAAACTTGTGAACTTTAAAAATACCTATTAAATCAAAACGTAGTTTATTTATTAGTGACCACAGATGAGGTACAATTTCTTTGTTTTTATTTATTTATTTTTATTTTTAGGCAATTGGGGTTAAGTGACTTGCCCAGGGTCACACAGGTCAAGTGTTTGGTCTGAGGCCGGATTTGAACTCAGGTCCTCCTGACTTCAGGGTCAGTGCTCTATCCATTGCACCACCTAGCCACCCCAAAGGTACAACTTCTTAAAATAAAAAGGAATTACTTTTAGGAATTGAAATCTAAGCAGAATAATAACTAATTTGACAATTGTTCTTTCCTGTTAGGAACTGTCTTGAGCCCAGGCTTTATCCACTGAGGCATTCCACTTCTGAGAAGAAGTGCCAGGCTTTACCCAGGCATTCCCCTGAGAACACAACTTGTAAATAACTAGCTCTGTTCAAGCCATGGACAGAATAGATAGAAGATAATCTTAGAAGAGAATGCACTAGCAACTGGAGAAACACAGATAGGCCTTTGGTAGAAGGTGGAATTTAAGCTGAGACTGGAGGGAAACCAGGTAAACTCTGAGTCAGAAGGGTGGAAGGAGAGTATTCCAGGCATAGGGGACAACTAGTGAGAGGCATGGAGATGGGAGATGGTGTCACGTGCAAACAATAGCAAACAGACCATTATGGCTGGAGTAGAGAGTGTATGGAGAGGAGGACATATATAAAGTCAGCTGGAGAAGGAAATGGCAAGCCACTACAGTATCTTTGCCAAAGAGTCACAACCTGAAACGACTGAACAACAACAACAACAAAGTTTAAGAAGGCTGGAAGGGTAGGAAGGGGCCAGGATATGAGTTTTGAATGTCAAAGAG